GCGTCTCTGCCCTGCCCTGCCCTGCATGGTTGCTGGGGTGAAGTCCAGCTGAGATACTAGCAAGGTGGCCCTGAGCGCCCAAAGGGAGGTGCAGAGCTCCATGGCCCAATGAGGCAACTTTTGGAGACAATGCTTTGAGTCAGAGGGAAAGCAAATGGACTAACAATGTGTCTAAAAGCCCTAGGAGATGGGACAGTCAGAAATGGTCACTTCATGGGCAAGGTCTTGAGTACCAGGAAGCCTCTAAGATTAAGAAAGAATCACGCTCCCAAGGGCTGGCCCAGGACCTCCTCAAACCACTCCATATGCTGGTCCTACCCCTCAGTCCAGTGTGTCTTCCTCCTTTGTGGTAAGCTCTAATGAATGAGCCATTAGTTTCACCTGGTACCAGTACAAAGGAGACCTATAAGGAAATGCCCCATGAGTGACTTGGCACAGGACAGCTATGGTGGATCATCCACCCTCATCACCCAGCCTGCCCACCTTCAAGCCCTGGACAGCCTGGGAACACAGGGGTCAAAGGATTTCTGACCCACCAGGCTCTCCTAGCCTTCTGACTGCCGCCAGCCGCCTCTCAGGGACAAAGTCACACAGCACCAGCCCCACTGCTGGGTCTGGCTGAGGTCACTGCACAGGGACAAGCAGCATTTTCAAGCAGCTACATGCTGTCTCCCAGCCAGAATACACACACACATACACACACACACACAAGGCCACACAGCATTCCTTATTAGGAAATCTGCATCAGCCCTCCACCTTGTTCCTCTTGGAGTTCTTGGACCAGTGGCAGCAGGCATGATATTCCAGGAATCTCAGGTATGCATGATCCTAGGAGGGCTGGTGGCTGATCATGCATGGCTCCCCTTCAAGTCAGTGGGTGTCTCACGCAGGCCTGGCACCACTATAACACACTTCCTCACTTCTCCTCCTTTGGTGACACTCCTATGTGGGTGGTCCAAGCATCAGGACTTCTGGGCCAAGGTACAGCTTCCTGACTAGGCATCCCGATTCACCGGGGAAAGAGGTACCAGAAGGATGGAGCCCTGGCTGGGGCAGTGTCTGAGCTACTTCCCACTTCCACAGTGCCAAGCAGTTTCCATTTTGCCATCCATCCCTGTGTGCTTTGACAAGCAATGTTGGTGCTCCCATGAGGCTCAGTCTTGGCCTCTTACAAGACAAAGAAACAGGTTGAAACCACATGCACCTTCCATAATAAATGAGCCTAATATATGGCCATAGGGACTACCACATGGGAGAGGAGCAGACAAGTGACACGATCCTGGCTTTGTTTCCCTACCTTGGGGCTTGCCATGGGTTCTTCCTGGGCCACCCAGAGGCCATTGTGCTCTCTCTGCTCTAGTTTGTCTCCCCTGCAACCCCTTTCCTGAGAGCCATCCTGGATCAACAGTGTCTTCTGAAGAGAAAGTCTCTGGAGGCCTCAGACCTCCACACAACATCCATGTGAGCAAGCCAACAACGGTACCCACAGAGGAGGTCAGGGAGCTCCCATCTCTAGTCCCACTGCAAATCTCAGTATGAACTGGCTGGATATCTGCCTACCTGCCCTCTGCTATCACTATCTTAACCCCTATGTTATCAGCTGTCCTGTTCTTCTGTCACTCACATGTTGACAAAGAAATACCCGAAGGGCCTTCCCAGTCACAAATACTTTAGCTTCCACATAGTTGGTTGGTTGAGTTAGTCCACTTACCTAGTGCCAGGGAAGGACAAAGAATTCACAAGAAAGGGTTTCCACAGTGAGACTGGCAATATGATAATACTTGCCCCCACATGTAGGTAATCCCCCCTGAATTTGAAGACCTCCTTACTATTTTAATGTAAGGTAGGGGACATTTGACCTCCCAATACCAGAAAATCTGGAGTAAGATCTGTGTATTAGTCAGCTTTTCATTACTGTAACAAAATGCCTAAGGCCTAGCTTATCAGGAAAAGACGTTTGTTTAGCTCACAGTTTTGGAGGCTGGACATCCAAACAGCACAGCAAGGCTCTGGTAAGGCCTACACATTATGGTAGCAGCACCTTCGTATCTCTCCCTGTTTCTGTGCATCTGATCTCTGAGCTTCTTACAAAGCCATCCAGATTCAATCGTGGCGCTCAGCTGTATGGGCCTCATTAAGCCCAACCTCTTCCCAAAGCCCCTGTAAATGCAGATTGCTCTCTTCACACCACTAACATATGACTTTGGGGATAGAGTTCTGCACAAGTCTAGAGGAACAAAACATAGCAATCTAAGATTCTGTGTGCTGGTGGTGATGTCTAATGTCCAGAAACAAGCACTATTCATGTAAAGACATTCCACATCATTAGCCAATAGTGAGACACAAATCAAAACCACAATGGAATACTGCTTCTGATCAACTAGGATAGCTGATAATTTTTAATGGAAACTAAATATGGGTGAGGATGTAAAAAAATAGGAACTCTCATGCTCTGCAGGTAGGAATGTAAAACGATGTACCACTATGGAAAACCCTACAGAGGCTCCCCAAGAAGTTAACCATAAGCTGGACTTGGTGGCACAGCCCTGTGGCATTGGCTTTATTCTGCTTTGTTTTGTATGGTTTCAATATTCGTGAAGGTATGGACAACTATTCTGAAGAAAGTGGGAGACATTATGGTAGCCACTGTTGATTTCCTATTGTCTTGTTTTGAAGCCTCATAATGTTTTCATTCTCTTGCTTTGATTGGTTTTATACTATTTTGTTTTGTTTGATTGTATTGTGTGTGAAGCTATGGACAACTATTTCAAAGAAAACAAGAGACACTACGGTAGCCAGTGTTGATTTCCTGTTGTCTTGTTCTGAAATCCTGTGTTTCTTGCATTATTCTGTTCTGATTTGCTTTGTTCTATCTTCTTTAAAATAAAAAACATTTTAAAAAAAATTTTGTCTTGATAAAAAAGGAAAATCAATGCATATTGAAAGCAAGTGAGATTCATTAAGTGGGTTCTCAGAAGTTATCATCTTCGTACAGGACCTTGTCAGTCATCTCTTGTGCCCCTTTCAATGCCCAGAGGGTTTACAAACTGTGGTCAGGGATTTAGCTCAGTGCCTCAAGTGCTTCCCTGGTGAGCACAAGGTTGTGAGTTCGATTCCTGGTACCAAAAGACCAAAAAAAAAAAAAAAAAAATCTGTGGCTTCAACGCCCAGAAGGAAATACTGCAAAGATCTGTCAAGGCAGAATCTACTCCCTCACTCAGAAGGCCAACCCAACTCCTGAGCATTGCAAACTGCCATTTAAATTTATAAACTGTAAAAGCAAAATACCACATTACGAGCTCCAACTTTGAATCACTTGAAAAGTGATTACTTGATTACTTATGAAAACTCAAAATGCTTAAAAGTAATTCTACCTAGAAGTTTCAGTTTGGTCATTTTGAACAAACAACAGTAGGAGGAAGTAGCAGTAATCTGCTTTGTTCTAATTTTAAAATGTGAATAATTAACTTTCCAGGAAGAAAAAATAAAGCAGAATTTTAAGAGAAGTTCAATTCAGAAAAGGTCCAATATAAAAACGGACTAGGACTGCTGATACGGACAGCCGTCCCTGGTTTCCTGCAGCGGCAACCCAGCTGTCTTTCCAGCTACACCTCTGCCACTTTCTTTTTTTTTTTTTTTTTTTTGTCTTTTTCGTTTTTATCGGTACTGGGGATTGAACTCATGACTGCCTGCTTGCAAGGCAGGCGCTTATGCCGCTGAGCTAAATCCCCAGCCCTAACCTCTGCTACTTTCACGCCTGTGGCCCGCTCTGGGCACTTAAACAGAGCATAATCCTTGACTTTGGTGGGGATTTTGGTTTGTGGAAAAGGAAAAAAGAGAGAGAGAGAATTTTGTGACACCCAATTTTGTAACCAAAACCAAAACAAAAATGCTAAGTAACTACAGACCTCATATTCTAAAATTCAGTTTCTTCCAGGTAGAAATACTAACAAACAGTCATATTTCTTAAGGCTTAGATCTAGAACTAAATATATTATACTGTACTCAACTATATAAAAGCTTTTGCTTAACAGTATTCCTTTAGGAATAAAATTCCGTTGTTCAGACTGTCTCATACCAATACTTCACTACCCAGAAAGGCAAATCCCTTCTGGAACCCTCAAAGGGAATTAGTTGGAAAGTACCCTAAGAAAGTCTTCAAGGCATCGCACCATACTGGAGACCCAAAAGTACCAATATGCTCCTAACTGGCCCTGCATACAGGCTCCCTAAAGCAAGAAGGAGGACCAGGAAGGGAAAAAGAAGCCCGAGGGGGAGAAGAAATTAGGGCAGCATGGCTACCTACCTGTTTAATGACTATTTGGACTTAAGACCAAGGTACACTGTTTGGCCTTCCAACCTGTCTTTGTGTATGTGTGTGTGTGCGCACACTCCTGTACACCCTGTTTACAGAACCTCAATGCCATCTTTTGTGCAGTACCCCTCGTCTACGCAGGACTGTAACTTTTTTCTGGCTGTACTGCACAGTACTGCAGTTTAATGCTTTGTTATACATTATAGCACTGAGTGTAAAAGCTATGCAAATAGAAGCACAGTCATCAAGTTGGAGTTTTCTTTGTTCTGAATATTGTAATGTACACACTATATACAGTTCCTCATTTAGCAACCAATTTATTTACTGACATAGCCGCAGGAACAGAACTTGGTTGTTAAACAAGGAATGCCTATAATCTTGTTCCTCTGCTCCAAAAGCAAGTAACACCGGAGCCAGAATGTAGCAAGCCAGACATTTACAACTGCTTCTGTTAACCTCTGACAGTGCCAATCAGGGACAGGAGCCTGAATTTCAGAAAACAGCTGATGGGTTCCAAACCCACCCTCCTCAGGTAGAAGCTATGTGGCCCTGAAGAAGTAAATTAGCCTCTCTGAGCCTGTGTTTCTTTATCCACCCATAAAAATAACCCTACCTACCTCCCAGGACTAAATGAGAGGAAAGTGTGGCATGCCTGGCCAGCGAGGACAAGAAAATGGGAACACAGTCAAAGCTATCATAGATTTTTTTATTAAAAAAACAAGTTAAATAAAATAGTGTCCCATGATATATAAAACTGTACTGGAGTCCAAAATTCATGGTTCAGAAGGTTCAGAAGGTGGTGGCAAAGATGTGACTGTGGTGCTCTCTTTTTCTTCGTAACTCGGGGGCAATTCCAGTGAAATACGCAGCGTGTGAGAGATCTCCGAAGGCGAGTGAGTCCCGGTAATGGTGTACACAAATTCGCACCCTTGTTCGCAGGCAGCGTCCTGGCTCTCAGGAGCTCGGGTCCCGCTGCAAAGAGGGACAGGGACCAAGAAGGGGAGAAGATGAAAACAGTAACACCCTTAAGCACCAGGTTCCTTCCAAAGGTTTAATGATAGGCATTTAGGAGCATCTGCCCGAGTCTAAGGGGTAATTTCCTCCACATTCAGCTTTTTATAGATCTGTTTCATTCCTCACCCGTACTTTTCTTAGAGCTGACTGGAACAGTAAGACAGCCTGGCTCCTGTTGTCACTGTCTGTCGCTAAAAAGGCATTGAGTTCAAAAGTCTAGATGCCATCCAAATAGAACGAATGTGTGCGTCTTTGCACTCACACACACAAGCTGAGCTCCTGTGCTCCGTACAGCGGTAGCAGTTTATTTTATGTTAGTAGACATCAATTTTAGGGTTTGGAGAAGTTTGTCATTGGAGAGGAAAACATAAAAAATTTATTACTAGAACTTTCACATCTACAGGGCGACTCCTTGCTCACTTCCCGCAAACACGACTTCTGTATACCTCTGCCATCCTCACTCGCCACCTGTCTCTCTGCCTCATCGGATAACTGGCCCCCTATTTTTTTGGCAAAAGGAGCCCTACACAACTTCACCCCTTGCAGGACCTCAAGGAAAGACAGAAGTGCCCCAGCCCCTGGCTCTAGGTCCCCGGCCTGCTCTATCCGAGGGAAGAGGGGAAGCAGAGAGCTCCTGACTCCACAGGGTATGCCCTGGATTCAAGGAGATGGAACATGGGCCTTAACCAGGAAGCATAAGACAGCACCTGTCCCCAGAAGTGGTCCCCAGGACCTGCCAATCTCACGCTTCTTGACAGCACCATTTCCTAGTCAAGCAAGCGGATCTCGGGGTCCTTCCTGTCCCTTTTCCTGTGTCCTGGGATAATCCCAGCGATGCTTCCCTCTCTTTTCTCCTGTCTTCCCCTCTGGGAAGATGTTCCCAGTGCCTTCTGCAGCACTGCTCCCCCAGGGCCCCTTATCTGCGGGCTGCAGGAGCCCTCCCCTGCGTGGTGCATCTGCCTTCCCGACTGTCTGCAGCTCTCTCCACTCTCCTGGTTTCCACAACATCTCTGTGCTGGCACCTCTGCTCTTCCTACGGCCCAGCCCCATCCAGTCTCCCTCTAACATCCCTCAACCTCCCACCCATCCAGCATCTTCCCAGCCTACATTGAGCCAGTCTTTCACAGCAGACACCTGCCCACTCCCCACGATCACCCCGGAGAGCACTGTCATTAACCCCTCTTCCTCGGCACCAGCCTGCAGGCCGCCGTCACACTGCCTCAGGCTCCTCCCAAGGCCTCAGGCCTGCCCTGTTGAGTGGGTTGGGATGTGGACCTTGGCCTTCTCCTTCGTCAACCAGCAAAGGCTCAGAGGCCCCGGCCCACTTTCCTGACTAGGAAATAGTCCTGTGTGTGCTGATTTTAGCCAGTAATCCAAGCATCTTCCATTAACTGAAAATCTCTGCAAAAGCTGGGGGAGGGTCCCGAACACACCCACGATCTGGAGCAGTGCTCCCTACCACAGCAGGGTCCCTCTACACTCAGTCTGGCTCATGGGCTGTGAGACATTTTGAGGCTCATGCCTGCTAGGAGTGCATGAAGACACTGGAAAACAAGTCCTTTTCCCCCAGCTTCACCACTCTATCATTTTTAACTTAGTGCTGCCCAAAGTGTCCCGATATGCACTGTTAACATCAAGGCAATAACCCTGAGATAACACCAGCAAATAAGACACCCAATAGCCATACTGGAGTAGCACAGCCTTCAAGCTACTTGGGTCCTGAAAAGTCCACACAAGCCCACTCTGAAGTCTCAGTGGGAAGTCAGTCTTACCCATGGCTGAAAAGGCTGTAATAGGGAGGTGGGCTGTCAGTGGGAGGCAAACTGTCGGCCGCAGGACTTTCACCAATAGCAGATGCAGAAGACTCAGCAAAGTATGGTGGCGGAGGCGGCGGGAATATTATCACCGAGTCACCTGGGGAAACACAACATTTGGTTGAAGACAGAAGGGTAATAAATGGAGGCAAATTACCTGGAGCAAAATAAATTGATTCTAACATTAGTTCCACCTATATTCCATAACACTTCCAAACAGCTGCTGCTCACACCAGAATTAAAAAGTAGGGCCTGCCCAGTTTATATATAAAGTAGTGCAGGTTCCCAGGGACTGGCACGAGGGTGGACAGAGAAAGGAAAGGGGGAATTTCTACTTGAGATAATGCAAACTTACTGCAAATGCATAGGGATGACAGCTGTGTGCTACCGTGAATGTAAATGTTGCTAAATCGCGCTTTTGAAAATGGTAAAAACAGTACACTTATGTTACATATATTTTATTGCAAATTTTAAAAAGTGAACCTAAACCAACTATGGTGGCACACTTTTGTAATCTCAACACTCAGGAGGCTGAGGCAGGATGATCATTCATAGTTGGAGACCAGCCTGGGCTATAAAGTGAGTTCAAGGTCAGCCTGAACCACACAGCAAAACCCTATCTCAAAAACACACACACACACAAAAAAAGTGAACCTGTATTTCAGAGCCTGAGTGCTTCCCATCAGAGTACAGGGCCTCTCTTTCCAGGCAAGGGTGAGTTAAGGCACTTGTGTGCAGCTCTTGCTAACACGCTCTCATTTTTTGAAGGAAATGTTCACTGAAGGGACAGCTCTCCTCCTACACACCTGATGTTTCAATCAAAAGCCAGCTGCTGGGAAAGGTCTGTTCCTCAAGCATAGTTCTAGTCTCTAACCCTGACAACAAGCCACGCTCTGCGAGCCAGTGGTCTCCACCAAAACTTACTCAAGCGGTACCTATGAACACCAGACTCAAAGCAAATCAGGGTCTTTGTATTTCTGTTGCTACCGTTACTCGAGAGCATGCCCTTGTGTTTTGAGGAGAAACTAGGAACTCATATCTAACTTGTACTTCCATTCAAGGGTGTTGAGATTCCAATGCACTGCACCCAGATTCTTCTAGATTCTTCTAGGTGTGCAGCAGCCCTCTTACTGCAGGTTCAACAAAGGCCTCTGCTAAGTTGGCCACACCAGGAAGAATGGTGAAGGGGATACAGCTTATTTCCCTGTGGGGAGAAGACTGGTTGGTACTGGCGGCAAATCAGACAGGATTCTTTAAAGGGACAGGTGTTCCATTTGTCAGTAACCAACCCAGCATGGCCCTGAACAAGCTCCCTGACCTCTCCAGACCTCAGCTGCAGAGCGGTCGCCAGCGGAGAACAGTCCCTGCCTCAGAGCACACGTGGCACTCTGGTCTGAAGCCTCACTTGTGTTCACAGATAACCCAGGTTTTCAGAAAAGGTATTAACTGAGCCTCTCCCCACAGCCTACATGGAAATGGCAATTGCAGCTTAAAATACAGCTCTCTAATCTTGACTTGATAAAGCCCAAGAGCTCTCTTGGGACTCTCCTCTCCACTTCTGGTCTGAGGAACCAGGCTATGTTCACTTTAACTACACAAGGCAGAATACAGGATGTGTGAAACCAGCCTCCAGGGCAGGCCATCACCTGTTAAAAACAAACAAGGAAGTGCTAGAGTGACCCTGTTATCCCCAAGGGCAACCATCCCTCTGCCTAATCAGCTGGATTTCATACCTTGCCAAATCCTCTCCCCTAGCTTCCCCTTCAGAACCTGCTGTGCTCTGAGCAGTGACACCACCCACCTCCACAGAAGGCAGGCTGTCTCATACACCTGCTGGTATGTCTAAAATCTAGCACTGAGTACGTCCACCATGGAGAGAGCACCCCAACACATAAACTCTCTCCTCCATCTTCCATGGGGAGAAGGGCAATGGCAGTGCCATTTCCCAGATTTTGATGGGACACAAAGGGTTAAATGGAGAAGGTTTTGAACCATCCCAGCCAGATTCAAGACACTGACACTGACCCACCCCACACCTGTCTTGCCCGGCTCACTTCCTGCACCGAATTCCAGGTGGGAGGCTGGGTTGCTAGCAAACCCAAAGCATTTCCTCCAAAGCTCCAACAGGTGAGCACCCAGGAATGTACTACTTTGTGCTCCATGAGCTCCTCCAAAGGGCTGGGAACATCTGTTGCACTGGGGGAGTTTTCTCTCATGTAATCAGTACTTAGAGCACCTGGTGAAGGACAAACTAGGGCCTTGGGGAGGGTGCTGTGCAAGGCTGCACTGCGCACCATTCACCCCCTGGCTTTGGATGCTGCTCTGCCATTGCTTCCTGGCGACTTTGGGCCAGTTATTTAGTAACCTCACCCTTCTTCTGTTCGTATCCAGCCCATGGTATTAAGTCAGCCTCACTGGCCTGCTGTAGGTATGGCTGGTTTGGCACAGTGGGCCATGAAAACACCTAGAGGGCCTCTGACTGAGGAGCAGACCCTCTGTAATTAAGATTTCTGCTATCACCATAAACACAAATGCATGAGGAAGTAAGGGGAGCATCTGCTCTGGCTCAGATCCAAGAGCCCTCCCCTCCTCCAAAGCTGTTGACACACCAGACCACAGTGGCTCCTTCCCTCCAGGCTGCAGTCAGCTAGTGAGCTCCAGGATCCAGCAGAAAGCCCCAGACCTGGAACACCTCACCTGTGACACTTCCCTGGACCCTCTACCATTTCCGCCCTGGAGTCCTTTTAACCAGGTTTATAAATGCCAAGGCTGTGGCATCAGAGCTCTAGCTTAGCAGTAGATGAAGTTTTCCTTGGGGTGATGTCAGTGCCAGACCTAGGGCTGGAGGACGGGCTCTGGGAAAAGGCAACCCACCCTTTCTGCAGAATCCAGGGACCCAAAGGAAGTTCTAGGCCTTTATGGAAGAAAGAAGTGCTGTGGCACCTCACATCAGTCTCTGCTATGGCTTCCAAACTTGCCCAACCCTGCAGCCAAGGATGAAGTTATGGAAAATGAAGAACAGACCGGAAAGCAACAGAGAGGTCCCCAAACTCCCAAACCATCCAAAGGCTGACAGACATGGGACAGACTTAAACTGCCAGGATGCTCATGCTGGAAGGAATTAAAAAAATGCAATGTTCATTTTCATGGACACATAAACTAAGGCAGGGGAAGTCAAGGATTTATCAAGGACAATGGGCCAGTGATGGCCAGCCTTGTCCCACAACAGAGGGCTACAGGCTTCAGTGTGAGAATGATAGGGAAACTAGGGTCACTTGGTGTGACAGAGGGCACCAAAGCTGTGCTCATGGTTCTTCCTCTCTCTTAGTTTATCTTATGACCTCAGTCAAGGTCACCATTTAAATGTCCCAATCCTTTTGCTAAATAATTGGGTTGCTGGAAGGAAATAATGTGCACAAGGCTTCCTGCAGGGCTTCCTGGAGCAACAACACTGTGTGTGCATGGAGGGGGTGTGCTCGTGGGAGACAGAAAGGAAGACAGAACACCTAGGCCAGACCAGAGTACAGTCCAGAGAAGGCTCCAAACAACAGCTGCACTTATCTGAGCAAGTGCAGGGATGACTGCCACTCACCTACAGTGACCTGGACGGGCTCTGTGCTGGGGGCATGTCCCTCTTCGCTTTCAGAGGCATCCTGGCTCGCACTCAAGTTGTTTTTCTTCTTTACATGGGCAACCACAAAAAAACACAATCCCACAAGCACAACCAAAGGCCCCATGATCTGCATGGAAAGGAGCCCACAAATCTGGGGCTCTGCATTGGTAGTGTCCGTCTCGTTCACCAGGTCCTGTGTCCAGCCTGAGCTACATCCGGGGACCCAAATGCCCAGGATGCTGATGAGCAGGCCACTTGTCAAGAACAGAAACCCAAAAATCAGGCACTGGGCAAACTGGCGGCTCTCTCCACAGAGGAACGCTTGGTCAGAGCTGGCCGGGTTGCCTTGCTGCCTTCCCATCAAGAGCTGAAGCCGCGCCCGAGAGCGAGCCAGGATCACAGCACCAAGCCCAATCACGGCACACGAGGGCCCGGCAACCTTCAGCACCATGCTGCAGTGTGGGACAGGTTCATACTGGCAGGCTTGGTACCCAAATATGGAGAACAGGACTCCCACACACAACAGAACAGCACCGAAGACCAAGAGGAAGAACACGAGCTTGCTGGCCCGCCTGTCCCTCTGGTCCCCATCTGGCTCAGCGATGGCTATGGAAGACATGGCCAGAGAAGACTCCTTCCCCAAGGTGAAACAGGACGAGTTTCCTTCCTTCCAACTGACTGTGGAGCTCTGCAAACAGAAACAAATGGTTCAGTAAAGTGGCACTCGCATTTCTGACCAACCCTGTTCTTTTCCTGGCCGTTTCAGTAATCTCCTTATGATGAAATCATACACAGCAGCACAGGGAGCTGCTTTCTGTGGAGTCAAAAGCACTGGCATTCACAAACTCTTAAATGTGCAATTGTCTGGAGATACACAAAAAAAGAGGAAATTCAATTACCTCTACATCTGAGAAAAAAGTATTGTAAAAAACAAAATAAAATTGGGTGTGACTTTCCCGTTCTAGAGTTTGTAAGGCTTTCTCCAGGCAAAAATAAAACAAAGAAAAAGAAGAAGCACACAAGTTGCTGTATTGCCAATGCCCCTCGCTTCATCAAAGCTGCTCTGAGCATTTCCAAGTCAGTAAATTTTCATTCAGTTCTATTTCCTGTTTTAGACTTCACAGCTTTCATTTCATACATTATTCTAAGTTTCCATCAACAGAAGACCCAAGCCAAGCAGTTTCAATGGAAAGGAAGCACAATTCAAAAATCTAGAGAGGTTGTATGCATTTAAGTTAATTATATTAAAAATGTGATCCCAGGCTCCACTGCGGGTACCTGACCCCATACACTCTCTCCCTCTCCCCCACTTTCTCCCAGCCCACCTCGGGTGGCCTGCTGCTGGGGCCTGGGATGACTCCAGAAAGCAAGTGGAGCCCCATCTCCTAGACAGTAAGTACCTTAAAGCAGCTGGTTCCTACTCAGCTTCATGTATATAGTGCCGCCCACTTCCACAGTGTTCACACTCAGTGGAAATAAACAGCCAACAAAATCACCAGACATAAAGCCTGAAAAAGGCAGCAGAATTTGCCTTGGAAAGAATACAAACTGAAACTAGTTTCCTGGGAAAGCACGTTCAGCAAAATCACCAGAGCCTTGGGCTTCAAGGGTATTATATTTATGTTTACCAAATAGTTGTTCAAGATCTATCTAGTTTACACAGCACTGACTCTATCCTTCAGTTACCTTAAGAGCTTTTAAGTGGGGCACTCTCAAAGGCAAGCCAACCTGCATAACGGAAGAAAACTTGTAAAAATGCATGTGGCTACCCAATCCATAATCACACCCCAAGGGGTTCAAGGCTAAGGCACTAGGGCCAAGACCATCTTGACAAACCAATACTGCGTGGGAAGAAGGAAGGTCAGCTTAGGTAAAGAAAGCAGACCACTGATCTTATCCCAGGAAGTACTTTTCCAGGAAAAAGTATAACAAAATCAGAAGGAAGTTAGAGGGAAAAAAGGAAATATAGGAGCCAAATACGCTTTCACCTCACACTTGGGTAACTCACATTTTATGAGATGGTAGTAAGCTGAAAGAAAGACTTAAAGGACTAGCATAAAGACTTTTTTCCTGAATCCTTTATTTCCTTTGCTGGTTTGGGAGATAAGGGTGATTCCCGGATACAAAGTCCAATCTGAAATTCACTGTATTCCTGGTATCTTAACTTTGCAGTGAGTCATCAGACTTCAACCATAAGAAGGAAATTCTCAAACACTAATAAACAAATTCCCAAACTGGATTTGTGCCTGCTTTTCCCTGGTCTAGCGGAAAGAACACCTGATCCAAAAGTGTTATGGTACCCTCAGGGTACCACCACCACCACCTCAGTGCTCACCAACGGACACAATGAGACAGTCATGCTACTACAAAATTAAATCGTTTCCAAATACCAGTCTAAACTTAATTTCCCCAAAGCCAAATCCCCGGCCGGAGTCAAATTTCCAAAAGACATTCGAAACCTACGGCATCTCTCCAGATCCAAAGTTCTGGTGGGTTTGGCGAGCGTGGCAAAGACAAACAAGGCTCTTTTGCAGGAAAGAGTTCTGTGGTTTGGGGGCAGCCCCAAGGGGCTGGACGCACGGTTCCCGGAACGCGGGTGGGGCGCAGGGTCCCGGTCGGTCCCGCACCGCCGATGCCCCGGGCACGGGAACCAGGGTGTCTGGCCGCTTACCTGAGCTGCGCTGCCTGCGCTCGGCGTGGCCGCGCTACTGTGCGCCCCATGCAGGGCGCGGCGCCGCCTCCAGACGCGGCCTCCCGGCGCCCGCTGACCCGTATAGTTCCCCCCGTTCGCCGGGCTTGGGCACGGGAAGGCGGTGCCAAGCAGGCGCGGGGCCCGACAGGGTGGGGCGGGGCAGACCGGCGGGCTCTGGCTGACACCGGGTGCTGCCCCTCGGGAGCCAGGGAGTGCCCTGCACCGGAGCCGATAGCCGGGGCTGCTTCTGCGCCTGTGACCGTGCGCGCGAGGAATCCGCGGGGAGTGGGCACGCTCAGCGCCTCCCCAGCCCGCAGGCCGAGTGGGGGATTCGGCGCAAAAAGATTGTCCCCTTGGCTGCCCGATCTGTGCGCGGAGCCGGCCAGGAAATGAGCGCCTGGTAGGGGAGCCTGTCCCCTCCAAGGTCCCTTTCAAGGACCAGAGCACAGAACTCCGGGAGGCAGGAGAGCACGGCGGGAGGGGAGGCGAAGGGAAAGCGCAGCCCCAGGTGTAGAGTCTCAGTCTCAGCAGCCGTGCCGCCCCAACCAGAGCCACCGCAGTCTGCTACTCCGGCGGCGCAGGCGCCTCCCAGGGAACTCCCTATGAACAGGATATGGAGACACCAGGTTTCCATCACGACATGAGATAGGTCTTCATACCCCAGCCATTCGAGCCTGATGTCCCAGCTCTGAAATTCAAGAAGGCCCTGTGCCTAGTCTCCTGTATCTCTTCCACACTGGCACCTAGGTGCACTCCTTCCTGGTGCTCCACTGCCAGTGACCTGCCAGAATCAGGCTACTAACTTTCCCTGCCCTTGAACCCGGAGTTTGGGGATAGGCTCGCTAATCCCCAGGCTGTTTGTAACTTGCCCCGTGACACGGCTCCACCCATGCCAGTTTCCACACTAGAGGTCAAGGTGCTGCCAGAGGTGAATCAAATCAGTGGTGCCTGAACTCTGGGGACTTCCCAGTCCAAACCTTTTCTCTCTTGCTTCCTGTCCACCTCCGTAAAATCTTCTCCAGAGTTATGCCCACTGAATTAGCCTATTTTGAGTACCTACCTGTACAGCAAGTTGTTTGCAGTCCTTGTCTCTGTGTAAGTTAGATTTAGCCATTCATCAGAGGTCAGAAGAGACTAGTAAAGAAGGGGCCACGCGGAAAGGCTGGATTGGGAAGTTGGGGCTCACCCCATGGCCTAATAGATAAATGGATAATTCTAGCAGGAGAATGTGGTGGGGCTCCTCCTTGGGGGACCAGAAGTGGATTTTCTCAGGGTTGCTGGGAATTCCTGCCATAACTAAACAACAGCTGATGACTAGCATAACAAACAATAATACCATGCAAGAGCCCTGGCTCTTGCAGGTTCTGTGTTTGAGCTTTGGCCCATGGTTCTTTTGTTAACGTTTCCAGCAGCTCCGAAAAGATTGGAACCAGAAAGAGAGAAGAGGGGAGCTAGGAAGCCAGTCATTTTTCAGTTGAGGACAGAGGCCTGTGCTGTAGCTGGTCATTGTAGAGCAAGCTGTAGGCGGAGTTCCCGACTGCCAGGTCTTCCTCCCTGAGTTCACCTATCACCCAAAGGACATTCAGGGCAGCAAATTCCAAAGCCACCTTTTTATTACATGGTATGGTGTGGCCACATGAGGAATCAGTATAGACATTCATAACAATTCAGACACCGTATCCCAGGACATTGCAGTCATCCAAGCCTTGGGCAGAGGCATCCCGGTCAAAGTGCCAAGATGTACCACCTTTGGAAGGGCACCAAGGTGTGTATGTCCAGACAGTGAACAGATAACCAGCAGTGGTGACTGCACACCCTAGGCTTCTAAGAACTCAGACCATCATTATAGGATTTGTCTCCTCTGATCCAGGGCTGCCAGCAACTCTTTATTATACAAGAGTTCCCGGTTCCTTTCCCTACTCGTGCTTCTTTCCCCCTTAGTTGAAAGTCAGTCTCTGGCCGTGTTTTGCACGGACCTGCAAGGGATCTGTTGATACAGCTGCCCCTCTGGTACCACATGACTAGGAGCTCACCACCCATGACAAACTTGAATGTCCCAACACCAAGGGCAATTAGATTTGCCTCCCCTGTGAGTATCTGCTTTGAGGATGGTTTGTGTCTTTTGGAGCCCATTTGACTAGATCAGTGAAGATCAAGACATGACTTACCAGGCTTCAAGGTGCTTGTCTTTCAAAATCTTAGGAAAGAAACCAGATAAACCTGTCACTGCCCCATACCAACCTGTGTGGCAGTGGCAGTGGCAGAAAAGCCCAGAGTGAATTCTTAGAAAAATAACACCTCTATACTGATTTCAGTAGTGTCTGTAGGTATCTTCCCAAAAGAGTTAAAGGCATCATATTATAGCAATACATGTATACCCGTGCTTACAGCAGCGTGACTCATAATAGGTAATCTTGGGAGCAGGCTGTGTATCTATCAACAGATAAAGCAATGTGGAATTTATACAGAGTGGGGTACTACTCTGCCATAAAGAAGGATACCTTGAGTCATCTGTAGGAAAATGGATACACCTTGAGATTGTTAAGTGTGCAAGTTTAAATATCACATGATTTCTCCTCATATATGAGAAACCCAGAGTAAAAATAAAGATCAAAATCAAAGATAGATGACAAGTAAGGAAATGATCTGTTTTTAAAGGGAAAAGTGATCAAGGAATGGTTAGGAGGGGAAGGAGGAAATAAAAAGGCATAAAAAAGGAATTAAGATGTATTATATCCATGTATCAACTCCACACAAGGAGTGTAAACATTGTGTACTATACACATAACATAAAATTAAGATGAATAAAAAATAACATCTGAACAAGATTTTAAAATAGGGTAAAAAAAATGAGGTAAGCCTCATATTTGGTCAGTGACTACAGAAGAATAAACCTGCTATGTGTGTTTACTTATTCCACACATATTACTGAGCACTTACCACACAGCAAAAAGAAAAATCTTTTGCCTTCAAGAAACTTACGGTAATCCAGTTAGGAGAAGACAATAAAATACAGACATTATACAGAGTAGTCTAAGGCTATGGGGAGCCATGTACACAGATGGAAAGCCTGTGTGCTGTGGAAATTCCCATGTAAATAGAGCGGGGAAGGAAGGCATCTGCACGAGTGAGACTGCAGCAGAAGCTTGATGGGAATGAGGAAGCATCATATTATCTGTGACTGCATAGCAATCTGCCCCAAAACTTAGAAGGATAGAACGACAAAGGCCGACTACCCCGGGTGTCTGAGGGCCAGGCATCTGGGTGGTTCTGGTTGGAAGGCTCTCAGGAGCTGCAGCAGGGTGAGTGGTGACCAGGCCAGCAGGTGTGTGAAGGCATGCAGGATGAGCCTGAGGCTCTGCTTCCAGAATGGCATGCATGCGGGCTGTTGGCGGGAGGCCTCCACTTCTCACCACATAGACCTTTATCCCTAGAGTGTCTCAGTGCTCTCATGATTTGGGAGCGGGGTTTCCTTATGTTAAGCCATCCAAGAGAGAGTCATGTTGTAGGGGAAGCTACTGGGCTTTCTATGACGTAGCCTCTGAAACCCCACACCATCACTTCTGCTTTCGTCCAGCCCTTTCTTCTAGCCCAAAAGGCAGAATTACACTCCAAAAGGGAAGAGAGTCTAAGATTTTGTGACCATATTTTGTGATGTTTGGAGGAAGAAGGGCAGAGGTATTGAAGTAAGAGCATGCAAACTAGAGAAGAAAAAGAGGCCAGGGCTGGAGGAAGAGGTGGGCAAGGCGGGCCGGAGTAAGAAAAGAAATCAGAGCAGATGTATGTGTGCGCGCGCGCCTGTGTGTGTGTGTGTGTGTGTGTGTGTGTGTGTGTGTACCACCAAGTTACCAGGTGTGTAGGCCTTGAACAGGAACTCGGCAGGGGACTGGGCAGCAGTGGGTCATGGAGAGGGGACAGTTACAGACGCCTTGCATTGGGTGTGGTGCCACATTCCTGTACTGTCAGCATTCTGACAGGCTGCAGCAGGAGGATAACAAATTTGAACCCAGCCTGGGAAACTTACCATCTTAGCCAGACCTGGCCTCAAAATACAAAATAAAAAATAGTTTGGATTGTAGTTTGGTGTGAAGGCCTGGACTCAAACACCAATATCCCCACTGAAAGGAAAGAAAAAGGAAGGAAGGAAGGAAGGAAGGAAGGAAGGAAGGAAGGAAGGAAGGAAGGAAGGAAGAAAAGAAAGAAAGAAAGAAAGAAAGAAAGAAAGAAAGAAAGAAAGAAAGAAAGAAAGAAAGAGAAAAGAAAGAAGGGAGGAAGGGAAGAAGGGAGGGAGGGAGGGAAACAGAATGAGAAGAAGAAAAAGAAAAAGAAATAACCTGTGTGTGATTTGACGAAGCTAATCCAAGAGTTGGAAGGGTAAAAGAGCTTGACTTTAATGGCCAGGAGAAAGCCCCTTAGCTGTGTTTGAAGATGATTAAAGTGGCTGAATCCTGGATATGTCTTGAAAATGGACTCAACAGTTTCCCACACAGTGGATATAGTTTTGGCCTGGCCAAGTGAAAGAATGGTTCTGGTACTAAACAATAGGGCCAATGCGTACTAGAGGAGAGATTCAGAGCAAGTAGTGGGAGTAGTTTGCAGAGTTTGGTGTCACACTTCAGAATTCACAAGATCACAGAGAGTCAAGCACCAAGTTCTACTTCTTTTTTCTTTTGGTCTCTGAGTTCAGTTTAATCTCAGTACCTAGAAGCAGGCACTCTCCCTCTTTTAATTCCTGATGTCTCCTGAGCCCCTGTTGGGCCTGGTTTACAGGAATTTGCTCTCTGTGGCTTGTTTTGGGGTCTGCAATCCCACAAATATGCCCAAGAATTCCAGAAACTCCTCTGAGCCAACTCTTAAAATGGTGCAGTCAACATCCCTGGGATATTCTCTTCCTCCCCACCCTGTATGTTGGACTTAGCCCCAAGAACCTTAGATATGTGTTAGGGGATAGAACTGGAGGTCCATCTAGTTGCCAAGATAGAGCTGAAGGTTGAGATGGAGCCCCTTAATTGATCCCCAGAGCAAAGGCTAATCTTTTTATGGTCTTTGCTGGTGCTGTTGATTTCCCATGGTTGATAACAGTACAACCTGAGCCAGGAGTGTGAATGCAAGCACTTGTTTCAGGAAGAGCCAGTTTGCCTCCCAGAAAAGACTCCTGTCTTGTGAGGGCGAGGGACTCCTCTACAGTGGCCACTGCCTCTGGTCAGTAGGTTCGAGGAGACCAGGGCATGACCCACTGAATCCCAAAGCATAAATCACTATTTCCCATTATGTAAAAAGTGCGTGGGTTTAGATCTTGGTTTTGCCACTTGCTGACTATATGACCTTGTCCAAGTAAACAACTTCTCTGTGCTCCCAGTCTTCCTCTACAATATGGGACTAGCAGACTTACTTCAAAAGATGTCATGCATGAAGAGTATGTGGAAGGTACATGGAAGGTCATCAACAAATGTATTTATTGTCACTTGCCTCGTCATCCACCTCCAGCTCCTCCTCCAGGACCTCACAACGGTTGAGCTAAGGGACCCATGAATGCTGATATGATACCACAGGAGGTCAGTCAGGTGCAAAGGGAGAGCAAACTGAGGTTGTATTGTCTCCTAACACCCAATTTGTGATAGTTTGAGCTCCTGCTGGCCTATATTGTCCTTCTTAGCTGCGCCTCATATAGTTACCTCTGTCACCTGCCCTGCTGTTCTTTGTCCCCAAAGCTTCTGGATGGTGCCTCGCTGGTAGCCCCAGAGGGACAACAGTGGCCTGATCTTCCAGCCTATCCAGGCCAAGGCTCAGGTTCCAGCTGCCTCCCATCTCCTGGGGCCATCTGAGCTGTGTTTCAGCCCAGTAGCCGCCCACTCGGTCCTGGTCCTTCTACTTCCTAGTTGTCACTGGTGACTCCAAGATGGATTTATGAGCTTAGTGTGCTCCAAAAATAGAGCATGGTGACATAAATATGAAAGTAAGTGAGAGAGGGCCTCTGTTTCCTGTCTCTTCCAGACAGCTCATTGGTGATGGGGAGGGGGTCCTTCTGGCTAATACACATCTGTCCGGTTCTCACGTGGCCTGACCTGTAGACTGCAGAGCCTTTGTCTTTAGGAGCTGCATTTGAGGGCTGTGGTGCCCAGCTAAGGCGCCAATGGGCAAGAGGCCCAGAGTGTGGCCAGTCACTTTGCACTCTCACACTGGAACCCTTGGCTTCTCCCGCAGTGACTTCTGGCATAAAAAAATGAAGCAATACACATCTGAACACCTGAGAGCAGAGAGGCTTTGATAAATTAGAAGGCAGCTTGGCAAGAAGCCAGCCCCTGAGTGCCCCACATTTTAACAAAAGGCCCTTTGTGGCAGCCACAGAATGCAGATAAAGCATGGGCATGAGGCCTGTTGATTGAGAAAGAAGGAAAAGAAAATTGCTCCTCAGAGGTGTTTTCTTAAAAACTTGTCTCATAAGTTGTCACCATAAGGTTGGTGAGAGGATTAAATGAGAGACTTGCTGTCCTTCTGGTCCCAATGTCATGCAAGGGGAATTGTCTCCCCCTAAAAAGCCACCACCATTATCTCCTCCCCTGACACACATCCAGATTCACTCACACAGTGGCTTTGGTTGGTAGCAGTGCCCTGGTTACTGGGCTGGCAACCCCTTGGTCCCCAGCTGCGCAGGCACAGAGAGGCTGGCACTTCTGCCTCACCTGGTGGCAGAACCATGAGGCTGTGGCACCTGCCTTTCTGCTCGAGGCAGTGCCCTTCTTCCTCCTGTCTGGATAGGAACCACGTCGATTGCGCAGAATCGGTTTTGAACCAGCCAAGGCCAAACGAAAACATATTTTGTTTGTTTATGCTGGTGACAGAACCTAGGGACTGCACACTGAACTACATCCCCAGCCCTATTTTATTTTATTTTATTTTATTTTATTTTATTTTATTTTATGTTGAGGCAGGGTCTCAAAGTCACCGAGTTGCCAGGCTGGACTTGTTTGTGATCCTTTTACCTCAGCCTCTCATACCCCCTCACTCAGCCTCCCCTCAATTAAATGCTGTTTCTCCAGCGAGGCTCCCCTGATCAACTCCTGTAAATGAACCTGGGCCCTCAGCTTGATCCCTTAGTATTTTCTCAGGATCTGTTTTGTTTTGTTTTGTTTTCACAACTATGGTTGTGCTGTGCATCACAATAGTGGTTTTTTTGTATTCCTCCCAGGCACCTTTTCTCCCATCCTGTGCTGTTCATGCTGTGTGTGTCACCCTCCACCCTTCGTCAATGGCATCCCCAGAGCGTCTGTCATTTGGTGCAGGCTTTGGCAGCTATCTTTGCCTCTTCACAACCGACCTTCATCCTAAATGCTTTTAACCTCCATATGCATGAGGCATCAGATTCCCAATCCTCACCCATACAAACTCGCCCATGCACCCTGCTGCCACTCGCGGCTGGCCCAGCCTGCACCAGCAATTGGTGAAATAGCTCCTCCTACAAAACCCTGCTATCCAACCAACCCCACCTGCCACGATCATTCCAACCCCAAACTTTGTGCCAGTGGGCTCTCTTCCTCTTTCTTTGCCTCTTCTTTGTGTAGTATAGATTCTATGACCTATAAATTCAGTAGAACTCTGATACCCTAGTGTTCCAGACCCATCCCACTCTCATGTCTTTTGACATTCATCAGTTACACAGCCATTATCCACTATTTTATCCACCTTTCTACCCCTCTCACAAAACACTTGACATGCACAACTTTTTTTCTCTCTGTGGTTGTTGAACTGGTATGATAGATTAAACCAAGAACCTTCTCACCGGGCCAGTCCCTTTTTTTCCCCCTTTTTGAGATGGGTTTTTACTGAGTCACTAAGTGGCCCAGGCTAAACTCAAACTGATCTTCATAAAATACTAAAGAATGGTGAGGACTAGGATTACAGATGTCAGCTTCTACACTCAGCCCAGAATAAACTTACAAAAAGCAATGACTTATCTTTGACTCATGGTTTCAGAGGCTTCAGTTCATGTTTACTTGGCCCCATGATTTGGGACATGTATAGAGGCAAAACATGAGCCAAAGAACATGTGTGCAAACAGTGTGTTAGATCAGAAGCAAAGGGAGGAGGGCAAGAGGTTCCAATCTTCTCTTCAAGAACACTTCTCCAGGGACCTGGCTTCCTTACACTAGGCTCTACTCACCAACAGCTCTAGTACCTTCCAAAAGCACCACAAGCTGAAAACCAAATCTTCAGCATTTGGGATTACCTTTAACACCCACTTTTGCAAGCCTGTACCTGAGGCCCTCAACAGTGCCTAGAAATGCAGCCCCACTTTGCTCCAAGACTCCCTCCTTTCCTCGTGACTATTTCAAAGCACATGGTCACAAAGTCCATGAGCCCTTTCTCCTGCTTAGGTGACATTTCTGATAGTTCAGACCCTTTCCTAGGCAACAGATATCTTCAGGGAAGATAAACAGCAAGGGTAAATAAAACCTTGGCCATATACATGTAATGTTCTTGGCTTGGGACCTCGGATTGCTCTTCAGTTTACAACCTGGAATATGGTTGGATCCTAAAGAATAATCGCTTCTAGCCTGGGTGACAGGCTTTAGGTCTGTCTTTAGGCACAGTTTCCTTCTGTGCCAATACTGGTTCTCCCTTCAGGGTGACTTTGCTGTGGCAGTGGATCCAGGTCAACATTCTAGGTTTCCTTTCCCTGGGATGAGTTTTTCCTGGAAAGCCCTAAATATTTCTTTCCTTCTCTATCCATGAGTAAGGCCTAAACAGGCTGGTGAACATTTTTATAATAGGTCAAATAGGAAATATTTTTGGTCTCTATCACTTTTCAACTCTGTTGTCATAGCTGGAGTGTGGCCTTGGACATAGAAAATGTATCAGCCAATAAGCATGCTGATGGTCCCATATGATGAATTTCATGTGATTTTCACATTAACCACTTCAAGTGTCAAGTTGTTCTTAGTTCTCTGGCCATAGAAGAACAGGAGGCCTCCAGGTTTGGCCCTTCATTTGTCATTTGCATGAATTTGTTGAACTTTAGCAGGAAAGGAGCAGGTGTAGGAAGATGGCAGAGTAAAAAGGTCCAGGAATCTCTCCCACCTAGATAGTAGTTTCGCCAGCACAAACTATCAGTCGGAAGTAGCTGCCAGAGCTCCAGTCCCGGCTTCCAGCTCATAGGCTCGTACAGTACACTGCAGTGACTCTTGGTCAATGTCAGCTCTGAGCATTGGAGCAGCCAGTGTGGCCCCTTTCTCCAGCCACATGGTGGCAGCTACCTAGTATTCTTGGAGAAATCCATACCCCATTCATGGGAGCCAGGGTAGGCAAAAAGGCCCTGTGTTCCAAATCCCAAAGATCTGTGCCCCAACTGCTGCTTCCCATCAGAGGGATAAAGCATCCATTGTTTCACTTCCTCCAATATCAGGGGCTGATGCTCTTTTCTACTTCTTCATTTATTTCTTTTTCCACTTTTGGGAGCCAGACGTTAAGGACAGAGACATTAAAAAACAATGACATATACACAGACAATTAGAAAGTGACTGCATATCCTCAGATAAAAGATTAGAAATTCTTAAGTTTATACCTCAGTCTGATCCTCAGGACAGATACAGTCAACAACAATAAAAAAAGAATCCTAGGGAAAAAAGACAATCTGTGTACATGACCAGCATTCAACAAGTACCATGTGGCATAAAGACAGAAAAAGTATAAGCCATTCAAAGAAAAAAATAAAACAACAGAAACCAGCCCTGAAAAAGACATGATGGCTGATATATTAGATAAAGACCTTCAAAGGGTTAAAAGAAGATGTGTAAAAAAGATTTTTAAAAAACCAGGCATAAACAAAATAAAAATATCCATGAAGAGGTAGAAAGCCTAGAAGGAAACCGGGATGAGATTCTGAAACTGAGAAGTAGAATTACTGAACTGAAAATTTTACTGGAGTAAATCAAAGTCAGATTGGAGTAGGTAAAAGAAAGAATGAGTGGACATTATCATGGATAACAAAAATCAAGATACAAGGAAAGTAAGTAAGCCTAAGGGGTTGTAGGACACCATCAAGCCAACCAACACACACTTTGTGGGAGGCTCAGAAGGAAGAGAGAAAGTGGCTTTACTTGATGGAATAGCGCCTAAATTCCCCCCTCCCAAATTTGATGAAAAATATGAATAAAGCCACTGGGTAAGTGCAGCAAACCCCAAGCCACATGAATTCAGAGACCTATACTAAGACGCAACATAAAGACAGAGAATCTTAACAGCAGGAAAATATGCAACTCGCCACATACAAGAGATCCCTAGTAAGATCGTCAATGGACATCTCAACAGAAACTGGAGAGAAGAGGCAGGGCATCAACAGCATAGTCAAAGTATTAAGTGATAAAAACCAGGGGCCGGAGATTTACCTTCATGGCACAAGTGCCTCCTGATGAGTGTGAGGTCATGAGTTTGATCCCCAGTACTTCATCTTCCCCTAAAACAGATAAAAATCTGTTAACCAAGAACCCTATATTCAGAAAAATCACACAACAGAATTTAAATATTCCCAGATAAAAGCTGAAGGAGTTTGTTACCATTTGATTTATTTAATAAGGAGTTTTTGAAAGAATTCTGGAATAAAGGAAAAGGGGAAGTAAAAAGAGTACTGTGATATATGTATGTACCAATTCTCCAAGATGAATATAAGCATTATGTACTGCAACTAAACTAATAAAAAATGAAAAGAACACTGCAATAAAAGGATTCTATATAGTATTTCCAAGGCACATGAACAAATAGAGATCTCAATAAAAGCAAATACATGTGCAATTATAAAATCTAATACATGGGGCTGGTCATTTAGCTCAGCGGCATGGGCATCTGCCTGGCAAATGTGAGGCTGTGGGTTTGATCCCCAGTACCAATAAAACAAAAACAAAAACAAAAAAATCTAATACAACAACTTGTACCTACAACAACTTGTACTTGTTTGAGACAGGTCTTGTTATGCAGCCCAAAGTCACCTTAACCTTGTGGTAATCCTTCTGCCTCAGCCTCCTAAATGTTGGGGTTACAACCACATACCACCATGTCTGACTATATCTTTACTTTTTGTATTCTACATTATTTGAAAGATTTACATTTTGAAAAATAATTATCAATTTAAAATCTAGTATTGTTAACTTTGGTAGGTAGATCCACATTTTGCTTTCTATAAAATTTTAAGAGACTAATTAATTTACTTTACTTTACTTTACTTTTATTTTATTTTGAGGCAAGATTTCACTGTGCATTTCAAGTTCGCCTTGAACTCAATTTGTAGCTCAGGCTGACCTCAAACTCACAGCAATCCTCCTGCCCCAGCTTCTGAGTGCTGGGATTACAGGCATGTGCTACCACACTCAGCCAAGACTAATGAATTTAAAAGAATTAATAATTCAAAAAAAAGAATTCACAATTCATGTTTTGGACACACAATGTAGAAAACTGTAATTTATGACAGCAACAACTGGAATTGAAAATGAGCAGAGTTTTTGTATGCTAATGAAATTGAGCTCATAAATTCAAATTAAAGTGTTATAACTGTAGGATGTTAAATATAGTCCCTATGGTAACCACAAAAAATAGCTATAGCATATATACAAAAGGAAATGAGAATGGAATTTAAATTTTTTGCTATCAAAAAAGACAGTAATATAGAAATTGAGGGACAAAATTCTATGAGGCATATAGAAAGTAAATACCAAAATGATGAAAGTAAGTCTCTTCTTATCAGTAATTACTTTAAATGTAAGAAGACAGAGACCAGCAAATAGATTTTAAAAAGCAAATCCAAGATCCAACTACATGTTGGATCATGAAACTCACTTCAGATCCAAAGACACAACAAATTGTAGTGAAAGGATAAAAAGATATGCCATTAGCATAGTAACTAAAAGAGAGCAGGAATAGCTATACTAACACTAGATAACATACATGTTTTTCATTTGTAGTGCTAGAGATTATACATGGAGCCTTTGCACTGAGTCACATTCCTGGCCCCCTTTTTATTTTAAGAAAGGTCTTACTAAATTGCTGTGTTTCCCAGGCTGGGCTTGAACTTGCAACAGTCTTGCCCCAGTCTCCCCGAGTGCTGGGATTACAGGTATATACCAACCACATTCAGCTGACATTTTAAATGAGAAAAAGAAAGACATTATATATTATAAAAGTTCAATGCAGAAAGGAGATATAACAGTGACAAACATTTATATACCTAAACCATCAAAATATCTGCAGTAAAAGATGATAGAATTGAAAGCAGAAATAATTCTATATGCGTAATTAGAAACCCTTGACAGCTCTCAATAATGTTAGAACTACTACACAAGACAATTAAGGAAATGAAGGACTTAAACAATATAATAAACCAACTAGGTCTGGCAGACATAGAGCTCTTCCCAGCAACAGCAGCATACACATCCTTCCCAGTACATGTGAGGTTTGTCCCATGCAGAACTTACATTGCACCACTAATGATGCCTCAGGACACAGATACACATCAAAGAGAGTATAGTTTCCAGGCACTGTGGGATATACTTAGAAATCAAAAATTATAAAGCAAATTAGAAAATATTAAAATATGAATGAAAAAAGCACAACACACTAAAACTTATGGGATGTAACAAAAGCAGTGCAGAAGGGAAATTTATAGCTACATAAACATTTATATTTAGAAACAAGAAAAATACCAAGTCAACAACCTAACTTTATTAAGAAATTAGAAAACAAACAACAAGCTAACCTAAAGCTAGCAGATAGAAGAAAATAATATAAAATGGAAATAATCAAAATACAGAATAGTATAAAATAGAGAAAATGAATGAGACTATAAATTGATTACTTGAAAAGGTTAATAAAATTGATGAGCCTTCAGCTAGTTGAACTACGAAAAATGAGACAAAATTCAAATTACTAAAACTAGCAATGGAAGTTACTCTACAGAAATAACCAAGCATTATGAGAGTATTATTAACAATTATATGTCAAAAATTGAGCAACCTAGACAAAATACTGGACATAGTCCTGGAAACACAAAACTTACCAATACTAAATCACGAAGAAAGATAAAATCAGCATAGACTTACAACTAGTAGTGATTGAATCAATAAACAAAAATCTCTAGAAAAGGAAAACGTGATAACTTCACTTAAAGGATACCAAGTTATTCTCAAACTTCTCCAAAAATTAAAGAGGGACCACTTTTTAACTGCTGACCTGCCTTACCCCATTCCCCCCTACGTGACAATTATCCTGGACAAGAGTAACACAGAGAAAGCCTAAGCAGGAAGCCCTTTGGATGGCTTTGGGCTCAGATCATCTTTCTGTCATCACTCACAGATAACATTACCACCTTTCCCAGTCCATGATTTCACATACAGATGTGGGGGCCTTCCACAGACAGATCAAATGCCTTCTCTCTGGTCCAAACTCCTCTCCCACCTCACTTAGTCTGCATCACAGATCTCACCTCCAAACTGAGATTCAAGATGTAGCATAAACCAGAGTCTTCAAACTGGAGCTTGAAGATCCCAAGGGAATGAGGGTTTCCCAAGGCCCCAGCTGCAGGTAGTTTCAGAGGAACTGACTTCTCTATCTTCCTGTCCCGGGAGAGATCTCTTAACTACATCTGTCCTCAGGACCACCTGCCCAAAGCCCTCTCAAGACTGGGCTTAGTTCAACTTCACTGAAGCAAAGACCTCAGTGTCACAAATGAAGGATCAATTCTAAATCCTGCGTGAGAATTTAGCCATTAAAGTACAGAACATTCAACCCTTCTAAGAGTCCACTGGTTTCCAGTTATTGATCTGTACTGAGCTAAAGGACATGTGGTCAGCTAGTAGGTATTATAAATAACTTTTAATGAAAAAATAATTATGTGATTTTGGCAAAAAAAACTTGAAAAATTCAAAGACTAAAGTGATCCTCCTATAACAAAACTCATCATATTTGGCTGGTGGTATAGCTCCATGGTTGTAAAACTGCCTATAATACACAAAGTCCCAGTTCCATCCCCAGAATGGGGTGTGTGTGTGTTGGGGGGGGGTCCCTTCTATTTTTATGCACCTGTTTAGGTGGACAAGAAGCTTTAAAACACACTCACAATGTGAAAAGTAGAAATAGAACTGGTTCATCCTAGTAATAAGTGACTGCCAACATTTAAAGGGTTTATGAGTGATTAGTGCCAATACTGATTTACACTAACAACAATATTTTAATATTTAGGACCTTCCAGCTATAGGAAAATTTTAAAATTATATAGACATGTGGATACATAATTATGTAGATGCAAAATATATCTGAAATAATTATGTAATTAATGAGAAATATTTATAAAAATAATATATTTCAACAAAACTCTAGAGAAATATATGGAAATAAGCTTATTATAACAAAAATATTGCTATTTAAAACTAATTAAAATATATTATTATTAAGATCATGAACTTAGCTAAACCAATTTAATCATATACACTTTTCAGGTGATGGTCAGCTACTAAAGATGCTGGCTATTTCACCATCTCATTGACAGGTATAGAGGAACACTTCAGATCAAATCCTGTTAAGGAAACAGATCTTTATTAAGTGTTTATTAAATACCACAAAGCAGCTTATACATTAGCCCCGTTCCATGAACTTGTCCCCACTGGCTTGACTGGGGTTTGCACTGGAATATTCCAGAGCCAGAGATTCCTTCTGCCCCCAGTACACTGGGCCATCTCTTCCATTTTTGTGTTGGGTGCTAAGATGCAATTCTGCTATGTTGCCCAGTCTAGCCTCAAGTTCCTGAGCTCAAGTGATTCTCATGTCCCAATCTTCTGAGTGTCTGGGACTACAGGCATATATCACATGCAGAACCTAGACATTTTCTAAAATCAACAACTATGAGTCTGGGGATTTAGCTCAGTTGTTTTACCTGAGCAACTGACACACAGTATCACAGACTGCAGAATTTTAAAGTGAATTAAGGACATTTAACAGCACGTGTCAAGTCCCTGTCTACCCTACCAGAATCTTTAAAAGTGATGTATATTTTATTATAAAATGTCAGTATGTACAAAATGTCATAAATATAAATCCTATTTGAATTTATGATGAAAACTTTGCTTGTTATTTTTATTTTTAATTTTTGTTATTGTTCTTGTTTTTTGAGACAGGGTCTTGCTGCATAGTTCAGGCTGTTCTTGAACTTGTGGCAAACCTGCCTCAGCCTCCTGAATGCTGGAATTACAGGTGTGTGCCACCATGTCTTGTCAACTTTAAAATAAGCAAAGGATATATTAATTTAAAAATTGTTTTAAGAGATCACTTGTAAAGGTAGAACCCTACATAGAGTTTTCTTGGAGGGTGAAGATGTCTCTGGGCTTTGTGCATGTTTTCATGCAGCCTCCTCCCACAGCTACATTCTCGTGATTTCTCCCAGGCTTTCAGCCTTACAATTGCTATAACTATGAAAGCATCTCATGAGATTCTTCTAACACAAATCCCTCCGCCTCCCAGTACTGGAGACTGAACCCAGTGCCCTTGCACTATCTACAAGTGGAGCAGAGGGATATCTGAATTGTTATTGCCCTATACCATCACAAATTTCAATTTGGAACTTTATATATTTGATATCACTTTTCATTTACATCATGGAAATATTTTTGGTTAATATACTTAATATGACATTTTTCTGTCATATTTCTTAGTCTTTTGTCTGCCTCCACTACATTACTGTATAGACTTTTTTCCTATTGGGGATTAAATTCAGGACCTTGCATGTGCTGGGTAAATGCTCTACCACTAAGCTACCTTTAGTCCTGTATAGACATTGTAAATTATTCTCTTTGGGTAATGTGCTTCACATGAAAAATATTTTTAGGAGGCATTCACGGGGAAAGGACAGGCCTATGTTCCAGAACATGTGGTAATTCTCCTGTGACACTAGGTTAAGGGTATATTACTTCTTTGAGATTTCACCCAAGCCAATCAAGATTGCAAGATAACAGTGTTTCTTAAACTTGCAAATACGCCTTGTTTGTGAGTTGACCTTTGAGTGTTCTTTCCTTGTGTTATCTTAAAGATAAATCAGGTCCAGAGAAACTCTTGCACTGAACTTTTTTTTTCTTTTTAAATTTTTGTCCCTCAGAATGGTCACCTAGTTTTGGAGGGTAATGTATTATCAGTTTTGTTTGGAACTAGCACCTTCATTCTCAAAGTCTTCCTTCCCAGGAGATATTTGCATATAAATAATTATAATCACATGAGTAGATTTGAATATTTCAATCTGGAGATGTCAGAGGCAGGACTGGACCAAAAACTGCAAGCACATATATTCTTGCAGAGCTTTATGTGGGCAAGATGCCTTTAATTAAAGGAAGCCAGAAATGGTCTCTGACTCTAGTCCATTAAAGGGAGTCAGCAACTAGACACTCCATTTAAGAGACGAACAGTGCTGCTCTTAGAACAAATACAATGTATGTTTTTATTGATTTACTGGAGTGGGCTAAAGTTCAGTAATATCCACCAGTGACATGGTTCCAGAAGGTGTTTCTTCTTGTACAAAATCTGGACCACCAGATGCACATGGTCAATTTGCTCCAGGGGCTGTTGAATTTTTGTGTAGCTAGTACCACTACCCTCCACAAAATATCCTGGCCTTGGGAGGTTTGGGCTTTGGCCCAGGGCTGAAGGATTTTAGGCACTGGTACCTATTTGAAGCATAAGGATAGAAACAGAAAACAAGAAGGAGAGAAGAAGAAAACATACCAGCTTCAAATGACAACAGGACAAGTTAATGCTGTGTGATAGTCTTGCACAAAATATTTTTTAATAATCAACATATCAGAATGTAGAGCTGAAAACAATGCATCCTAGGGCTATAGCAAAGGATACAGGTACAATTTGAAGACAGAGATTCCAAGACTTTTCATTTCACTTTAGTCATTCATCAGACATCAGTAGGCTCAAGGGAAAGGTGAGTGTTTTCAGCAAAAGTGGCCTTCGGGCCTCAGGAAGCAACCTACTAAATTGTTCTCATACCCCACACATCAGAAGTGTTACCTACAGCAAAGCTAGTGGGAACTAATCATGTATTTCCCAGGCATGTGACTTCCAAAATCAATGACTTTTATGCTTAGCAAGAGAAAATAAAACTAGAGGTTTTGTTAGTAATAATTTCCCATTTTATGCAAACATTCTGCTTTTGAAGTTTTATGACAGGTCTGTTGAAAAGAGCATTAAGAGTAAAGAAGTAACATGCCACATTGTCCCAGCTTTCTGCCACCATGGTGATTCATCTCAAGACCTGGGGTGTATCTTAGCGGCACAGCATGTGCTTAGTATGCACAAGGTCGAGGGCCAGGAATTTAGCTCAATGGTCTAAGTGCCTTCCTGGCAAGCCCAAGATTGTGAGTTCAATTCCCTGGTACCAAAAAAAAAAAAAAAAAAAAAAAAAAAAAAGTATGCACAAGGTCCTGGGCATGATTCCCAGCATTACCAAACAAAACAAAACAAACAACACACATGTAAACCAACTATATAAAATGAATTAACAAATACTAGTT